GGGTCGTGGGGTGGGCTCCGGGACCGAGAGGACTGACAGCTCCGCCCCCCACTCCCACTTCCAGCAGCTCCCTCCCTCCCCTCCAGGGCTCCTGACACCAGGGCCTGGGTCCTTTGGAGGGGAGGGCCTTGCCCTCAGCCCAGGGGCTTCTCTAGGAGGGGCCAGGGAGGGGCCACGGGATGCGTGTCTGGAAGTGAGCAAGAGGGTACACGGCTGAGCTTCGGGCTCCCGGTCTGCGTGTCACATGCATGTGTGCCTGTGTGCATCCACCTGTGTCCAAGTCTGTTTCTCAGTCCAGGAGCGAAGGAGAGTAGTGTCGCCCAGGGTCCCCACTGGATTGTGTCTGCCTGTTTCTGTCCCTGCCTCTAGGCTGCCGTCTGTCTGCAAGCCATGACCCTGGGCTCATCCCTGCTGGACCTGCCTCTGGAAGGGGAGGACCCTGTTCCTGTCTCAGGCACCCACTTGCGTTCCGTGTGGAAGGACTCAGACCCAGCAGGAAGGAATCAGGCCCGCCCAGGGCAGGTAGAGCTCCCTGCAGTCCGTGTGTAGACAGGTGCCAGGATGCATCGGGCACAACGGCAGCCAGGAACATGCAGGATGCCAAGCTTTGCCAGGTGAAGAGGTAGTGCCCGCTGGCCATCAGGGTCGGAAGAGGGCAGCCAACCCTGACCCTGTGGCCTGCAGGAGGGCAGACGGGGCACCCACCAGCTGCTCAGCTCAGCAGATGTTGCCAACGGTTAGCACCAGGCCGGCTGCCCAACCTGCGTCTCAGGCTCTGTCTCTCCCAGAGAGCTGCACCCGCTAGAGTCACCTCTGACCTCCAAGCTGTCTCCTCGTCTGTAAGGAGGCTCACGCCCAAGCCTGTGCCCTCCTGGGACAGGGCAGGGTCCAACATGGGTCTGTGTTCTGAAATCCTTGGAGACTAGCGCCCAAGGCCTGGGGTAGGCAGGCACTCTTGGTCAAGAGGCATTGACAAATAGAGGCGCGTGCCCTCCCCCCGCCAGGCCAAGCTCTGCCCTAACTGCACTCTTCAGGACACAGCCTCACCCAGCGGACACGAGGCGGCAGACAGCTGGACAGACGGCCCCGAGACAGGGACAGGAGTGCGGCTCCAGGCCCCAGAAGAACCAAAGTGCTCATCTCTCAGCCCGGGACTGGCCACGCAGACAGGCCATGGGCTCAGGGTGCTGTGAGGGACGCGGAGGACGGGCACAGAGGTCTGGAGTGACTCCCTGGCCCAGGCGAGGTGAATCCTCATGGGCCAAACCTGCAGGGAAGAGCCCCTGTCTGCCTCCCTGCTGTGGTCCAGCTGTGGTGGGGGTGGGGTGGGGGCCAGGCCAGCCAGGCTGCCACTGGGGAGGTACAGAGGGTGCTGCCCCCAGGGCCGACTCCCACCGGCCCCTGCGGCTCCGGCTGGGATGCAAGGAGGAGCACAGTGGTCAGACATGCAGACGCACAGGCCTGGGCATGAACACACACGCAGAGCCCAGCTCACACGCACATTGAAGCATGCACACCTGTTATACACACACAGTCTGCAGGTATACACACGCACTGATGAACTAACACGGGTGTGCCCTTAATGTGACTCCTCCCTGGGTACATACAGGCAGACGTGCAGGACTCGCACACACTCACACCCCCACTGTGCACGCACACACCTGTACGCACAAGCAGAAGAGCATCCAGGTCCCCACTTGCGCACAGATGCCTGGAGTCGTCTGACACCCCACACATGGCACACGAAGCCAAAACCAGGCAGAAGAGCGAGGGCCCAGGGCCAAGCAGCCGCAGTGCGCGCGCCCTGCCAGAGCCCCGCACCCGCAGCACAGGAAGGAGCTGCCTGGGGAGACCAGGAAAGAGGCAAGCGCTGCCTCCGGACACGTCCCGTCCCTCGAAGCCTCCTTGCCCGGGTCCCCGCAGGCAACTGAGGCCAGCGCTCAGGAACGTGGGGCGGGGGGTCCTAAGTGCCCAGCGACCCCCAGGGCAGGAAAGTGCTCCCCCGGGAGCCGGCGGGGCGGGGCGCGGGCACCCACCTGGTGATGCGTCTCGCCCTCCACGTTGACGCCGTTGACCTCCACCAGGCGGTCTCCCGCGCGCAGCGCGGCC